ACACACACACACACACACCCCAAACAGAAGTGATGGCATACAGCTGTAATTTCAGCATCTGGGAAGATGGGGCAGGAGGTTGACAAGTCCAAGACTAGCCTGTGCTCCATAATGAGTCCTTGTCACAAAAAGGCAAAGGGGCAAGTCGTGTATCTCAGGGATAGAGCATCTGCCCAGCATATGTTAAGGTCTTGTGTCCAAGCCCCAACACCACATACACAGTGAGTGACACCAAACAAAGCACTTCAAAAAGGCAGGTACTATTTTTGTTAACTCAAAAAGTGTCAAGTGGCGGCAAGTGCAATACATCAGTTGATAAAGGCACCTGCCACCATGCCTGACAACCTGCACTCACTCTCCCCCTGGGACTCCAACAGTAAAGAGACAACTCTTGAAAGTTGTCCTCTAATCTTTAGGAGTACTGTGGCATGCACTCACTCCCACAAATAGACACTCACACAATAAATGAATTATTTTCTAAAGAAACACAACATGACTAGGTTACATGGTGATGAATCTATGATTACCTATAATTGAACAGTAGGAGGATTCTGAACTGAACTACAACAGCAATCTCTGACTCCAAACAAACAAGATGCTGGAGACGGCTCAGCGAATCAAGAGAACACTTGCTGCTCTTTGCAGAGGTCCTGGTACGGTGGTTCAAACCACACATAACCCAGTTCCAAGGGATCCAACGCCCTCTTCGGACACCAGGCACACACATGGTGCACATACATATGAACAAAACATATGCAAAAGTAAATCTGAAATAACTTTTTAAATCAACAATAAGAAAAAAATAAAGCCAACTTCTACGATTACACTCCTAAGGGCCTCAAGATGGCTCAGCAGGTCACACAAGCCTGAGGACCTGAGTTCCATCCTTGAAATTTACATAAAAGTGAGAATACTTACTCTTCACAGGGTTTCTCTATGTAACCCTCACTGTCCTGGAAATGGCTCTGTAGACCAGGCTGCCTGGTCTGGGATTTAAACTTTTTCTCTGACCTTCACACATGAGCTGTCTCAAACAAGAATTCAAAAATCACTCATATACACACATACATATTTTTAAATCTTGGGCTAAAAAAACATAAACAAAAACTTTCAGATACTCATTAGAGGTGCCCACCCTCTTTGGTTCTCCCGCCCTGGTTTTTGTTATTGTTTTTCGAGAAAGGTTTTTGATATGTAGCCTTGGCTGTTGACAAAAGAAATCGCTGAGCTCCTCACGCTTGACTCTGTAGTACTGGGATTACAAGCAGCCAGAACCACCACACCCGCCTAAAGGTCGGGATGATTTTTTTTTTTTTTTTGCCTCACTTCTAGACTTACTTGCACTAAATACCCAGGACCAGGTGAAAATGAAACAAATTTCCAAGAAAGTCACTCTCCCTACAAAAAGAACCTTCCTAACACACATGAATTCACGTGAAGGCACTGCTTGCCACTCGGAAGTCCAGCACCGTCAGTCCACTTTCCTGACAACAAGATCATGATCTGTGGTGTCCTCACGCATCACTTTAACGGATACCATTTATACCTCCGCCATTTTCACACATGCATCCCTACTCCTTTTCAAAGGAGGTCATGAGGGAAATGTTTGGTATTTTTTTATTAAGAGGGGTACATTTATTCACTTCATTATTGACTGTTTTTAAAAAAGTCTCCATTGTAATCACGGGGGGGGGGGGGTTAATGCAACAAAACATGTAGGGAAACTCAAGTACTGTTGCTCGAGTTTTGAAGAAAAGAAAAAAAAAAAAAACAACTGGGCTTTTTACTCAAGTCCCAAAGAAAGGAGACATCCGGGGCTAGAGCTCAGTAGTACCAGGCTTGCTTGGATTATTAAATGCTCAAGGAAGGAGGGAGTGTGACATTCGATGGGACGACTTCAGAGGGATGTTTACCTCTCCTAAAGTCTTACTTTACATACACACGTTCAAAAGCACTCTTTAAACCCACGAAGCACACTCCTGCAAGCAGCGTCTG